GAGAGAGAGAGAGAGAGAGAGAGAGAGAGAGAGAGAGAGGAGGGAGAGAGCGAATATCAGCTTATGCAGTGGACTGGTGATGTGGTTGGTTTAAATTCTGCCATGTAACACATTATAACCCAGTCTGTGGGTACACGAGTGACCTGGGATTATCTATCCCGTGTCTGGTTCACAGTAAATAGAGATGGGTATCAATGCTGTTGTTGAGAGATGAGAGTAGAGTCTTCCATGTGCCATAGTGATGACTTTGAAAATAATGCCAGCCATCTGATTGGATTCTCTTGTCTTCCTTCAAGTTTTCACTGCACTTTGTGTGTCATGTTTTGTCTTCAGGCGGCACACCCTCTTCTGCTCCCTCTCCTGGCTCTGGGACCCCTTTCCCAACCACAGCTGCATTTGGGGGGCTCTGTGCCTTTTGAGTTTTGTGACTGCTTTTCAGTTACAATGTTCCCACTATCACCCATAAAGATTCTAAGTCAGCTTTCGTGGAGGACAGCAGGTCCCTTAAGAAATCAAGAAGAGTGGGGCTAGGAGGTGAGGCAGGTTGAGTACTCCCTGTTCTTCAGGAGAACCTGGATTCAATTCCTAGTACCCATGTGGCTGCTCACAACCCTCTGTAATTCCAGTTTCTGGGGGCCAGATGCCTTCGTCTGGCCTTTGGGAGCTCTACATACATGTGATACAGGCAAAACAGCCATAAACATAAAATAAAAAGAAGTAAGTCTTGACAGACAAGATGGAACCAAGAAGTCTTGAGCTGAGAGAGAGGTGATGAGGCCTCACAGAAATGTGGTGTAGGTGATACTTCTTTTGTCATTTGATTAGAGGGAACACATCAGTTGTCTAATAGGGAGCTATGAGATGGGTTTGCGTCAGCTCATGCCTCCCAGCATCTGGAGGAGACTGACCAAGCCTTCCTGCTGTGTGGTTTACTTTCAGGTGAAGTACAAGGAGGATTATGAGAGATCCAGAGGGAAGCTCATTGGAGCACAGAACGCACAAGGGGACTCTCGGATGAGCCACTCACTGCAGATGTCTAAGCTACAGAGTGAACTGGAGTATAAGAAAGGCTTTGAGGACACCAAGTCTCAGTATCATGTCTCCCTGGACATGATCCACCTCGCCCATGCCCGCCAGGCACAGCACTTAGCCACAGACATAGGCTACAGGACGGCATCACACTGCTTCACAGCTCTGCCCACAGACATGAAGGTGGAGTGGGCCAAGAAAGCCTATGGCCTGCAAAGTGATGTAAGCTCTGAGCCTCTGTCTACATACACTCGTGTGTGTGTGTGTGTGTGTGTGTGTGTGTGTGTGTGCAGTGTGTGTACACTGTGTGTGTGTGCAGTGTGTGTACACTGTGTGTGTGTGCAGTGTGTGTATACTGTGTGTGTGTATACTGTATGTGTGTACAGTGTGTACAGCTGACTTGAAGTTGTGTGCCAACAGCTTGAGAGGCAGAGTTACTTCTTTGGAATTCTGATTGACATCTCTCTGATGCTGGAATTGAATGCATTGGTGTCATCCCCAGCTATGGTCAACAATGAGAGAGTCACTGACTCTCACCCCAACTCTAATGGTCCCCATTGTCTGGACGAGCAGCTTGAGGGTCTTCAGCCTCCTTGCCTCCCTCTTTGTGCCCCTTTGCCTGGTTCTGCTTCCTTTCTGTATTTGGTTGGAAAAGAGTATTGTGAGGGGTCAGCTATAGCCAGGCTGTTACACACAGGTCTCCCCCTCTGTCTCTGTCTCTGTCTCTCTCTGTCTCTGTCTGTCTGTCTCTGTCTCTGTCTCTGTCTCTGTCTTTCTCTCTCTCTCTCTCTCTCTCTCTCTCTCTCTCTCTCTCTCTCTCTCTCTCTCTCTGTAACAGACAGACAGAAAGACAGAAAGACAGAGGCAGAGAGACACAGAGAGAAACACACAGACAGAAGGTAGGCTGGTTTTAGAGAAAATTTTCTGTTTAATTAATTTCATTAAAACTCTTCATTCATAGCTAGTGAAGAGATGAGAACTCTCCTCCATGCCCCACAATGACAGGAGGAAGGAATTGGCTCTAGGAAGAGACCCAGCTTTTGTGTGAGAGTCTCTCCAGTAGCTCCTACTTGGGTCCAATTGTAGGCCATCACTGTCTCCTCCCCTGCCTGCCATTCTAAACAAGAAAACTGGTACAGCAGACAATGAGGATGCTTTTGTCCGGGGGGATAACATGTGCCCCTAACGAGGGCCCAGACTGACTAAGCACCTTCTGCATACCCCAAGTAGTGTTGGGTAGGGCCAAAAGCCACCATTTGCAGGGAGACCTCTGATTAAAGGGGGCACTAATTTGTATATTTGGGGGCCTCACCCACGACTCTTCAGAAGCAGGTAAGCAAAGTGTCATTTAATTTGACTCAGCTGGCACCAGGGGCACACTGGGAACTGTTAACAGCCCTTTAAACGTCTGTGCAGTGACAGTGGCCTCCCTTTCCCCTTTCTTTCCCCTTTGTCAGAACCAATACAAGGCAGATGCGAAGTGGATGAAAGGCACGGGCTGGGTCGCCACCGGGTCATTAAATGTGGAGCAGGCGAGGAAGGCAGGAGAACTCATTAGTGAGGTGAGATTTCCCGACAGTGTGCGTGACGGGGCTTGGCTGCATTAGGCGTGCGGCATTTCTGTATAAAATTAAAATAATTTCCACTCAAAAGGCAAAGCCACATGAAAGACCTCCAAACCCGGACTCGGGCTGGTAATTAGAGAGAGCCACATACCAAACACATACCAGTAGGGGCCCATGGAGTCCCGGCAAAAACAAAGTGGGTGACAAGTGATATTATGTATAATAATGACAACCAAACAGAGCTCACTCGCTACCCACCCCTTACCTTTTTAATGAAGCGGCATGGGAGAGACGATGAAAAGACACGTCTGTGGCACCCAGGAAACCCTTTTATAACTTCATGCACGTTTCTCCCTCTGTTGCCACAGTGCAAACAGTTGTGAATATTCACAACGCTGTCCGACTCGGTGACATGGCTGGTTCTTTCTTGTGGGATGGATATAGCCCTTCTGCTGTTTTTAAATCTCACTTTTGTCCGAGTCCAGCCACCCTGACTGACCTAAAGGCGGTTCTGTTTATGAGAAAAGCCTTCCACCAAGTCTCTGGGCAGCCTCACCAAGCGGCAGTTTTAAAGCCTGCACAGTCGTCCGCATATTGTTGATTCTTTCTGACGCTGTGCCCGGGGCTTAGGGGATATTCGGCAACTTCTCTTTGGCCTCTAGATGTCAGAAGCACACTCTGTCAGTGGTGCCAACCTAAAAGGTTGGCAGATGCCCTCTGGGGGGCAGAATTGCTGCTGCACAGAGCACCTCTGAGAACCCAGCACCATCAAACTCTCCAAACTCACCCCTCTTCTTGCCTGTTGTGAAGGGCTGTGTCCAGAAGGCAAGTGAGCATTTCACTGGCTTTAGAGTGGACTGGCCTTTCTGGGACTTTCTGGTCAGGAAGGAGCCCTTAGTTTGCATACCTGGAAGACTTTGGTTTTGGCAGTGAGGCTCCTGAGATGATGTTTCAAAAGAGAGTTTCTTATAGAATGCACAGTCAATGCAGAGCGACGGCCTCATTGGCTACGATGGCCAGTGTTGCCGTTTCCTGTGGGACTGCGTTCTCATCACTTTGCACATGAGAGGGAACTGCTAAACTTACCTCGTTCCCACTGGTTTCAGAGATCTTACTCAACACTGAAGCAGCCTGAGACCTCAGAGGGGTCAGCGCTGCCCTATGCTGTTTAGTTTACAGGAAAGCCTCTTGGGGGCATGGGGCTGGGGGCCTTCATTCCGTACAAACTGCTGCATGCTTGGTGTAGACTTCCAGATGGTTCCTGTATGTGTCTAAGTCTGGAAGCAAAGACTTGCAGAGGGAATCATGTGACTTTGTCTCATCACTTTCCTTATTTTTCAGACTTTCTCAAGAAATTTGCTTATTAGCATCTTTGCCTCACAGCATCTTCAAACTGTACCATAGGCAGGGTATATTTTAGCAACTTCCCCAACTATTTGATGTTTCTAGGTTCCTGTCTAATTGGGCTGATTGGCTTTCAGAGAGAATACCAGACACTTTAGAGAGAGCCACAAATGAATATGGACATGCTCACACACACACACACACACACACACACACACACACACACGTATATATGAATTCACAAACTCATGCATACACATATTCATGCGTTCACATGCATGTATACATGTATATAGACATCGACTCACACACAGGTATATATGTATTCACAAATGCATGCATACACATGCATTCACTCACACACTCACACACACACATACATGTATACATGCATTCACACATTTATGCACACACATGCATTTACACATGTGAAAATGCACTCACACATACAGACATGCATTCATGCATATGCACACATGCATGCATGTATTCACACGTGTGTAAATGAATTCACACATGCACATACATCTATACCTGCATTTCACACACATATACATACATACACACATGTATACATGCATTCATACACAGATACACACACACACACACACACACACACACACACCCCTATGGAATGGAGCAGGAGTCACCTAAACTATTCTGTGAAGCTCCAGGTAGTTAATGGTTTTAACTTTGCTGATTGCATAGCCTCCATCACAACTAGATGAAAACTGATCATAGACAATATGTCAGTGCATGAGTGTGGCCGTGTTACAGTAAGACTTAATTTGCAAAACACAGGTGGCTGACCAGATTGAACTGTACCTAAGACAGTGTAATGCAGTATGTACAAATCCAAGCAGACAAATGAGGAGCAGGTGTTTAGAAAATAACATGATTTGGGGGGAGGTGAACTCCTTTATGCCATTAAAAATTCTAATACTTCAGGCCCTGAAAAATGTGCTTTGAGTAAAAGAAAGGGGAATCGTGATATCCAGACCTCTACAAAATGAGTCATGTAGATCTTTGCCAGCATTTACATTTTTTGTTACTTGGCGCTTTGTTTGACATGTATATTCCATGTCTTTCAAATGCTATAACAACTCCTTTCCTGATGGTAATGGTCTCCTTTTCCTTATTGTGGTAATATCTTTGAGAACTACCATATATGCGAAAGAAATCACAGTCTAGAGTGAATACACCCTGCATGTTAAATGCAGGGTTTTGGCTGTGATAATGCTTGCCAAGTCCTGTGGGGGAAGGAAAACAGAAAGCCTCAATCGATAAACGTAACCGGGAATGCACTTTCTTGCCAAATTAAAGATACGTAAACAAGTGCAGCACAGTATTTAAGCCCTAGAAAGAGTGACTTTGGAAGTCTGTGCCCTACAGACTTTTACTGGCGTAATCTAATTCTGAGATGTTGTCTTTGCAGCAGGTAGAAATACTTTAATGTTAATTGACATGAGGTTATTCTTAAATTGAAACAAATATTAACCTGAAGGTACCGAGGATATAAAGATGGAAGAAGCAGAATAATAATTATGTTCACAAATTCACTCTAATCTCAAGCAACCTGTGATTTTCTCTTTCAAATGGCATGAAAGAGCAGCACAAAACTCACAGCTTTGATCTTTTCCTGCTCAACAGAGGAAGTACCGTCAGCACCCAGAAGCTTTGAAGTTCACCAGTATTAAAGACACTCCGGAGATGGTCCAGGCCAGGATTAGTTATACCCAAGCAGTGGACGTAAGTGGTAATGTATATACATGATGACTCTGAGAGGGAGCTCTCTTTCAGCGGTGCGATTGAAGCAGAGGGGATCTCAGGCCTGCTCCTTCTGTCGTCCTGAGGATGAAGGGTCCCCTTGTCTTTTATGAAGCTTCCCTCGGCAGGGTTGCTTCCTCATTAGGATGCAAATGGGGCGTTCCTGTACTCAGCGTGCCAAGTGGGGCTCTGCACCCCACTGCCCCTTGGATGCTCTCCTTCCTTGCATTTCCCCCTTTTCCTTTTGTTCCAAATGTTGTTTTCAGAGCTAGAACTTGGAGTAAAATTCTGTCTAATTGGAACGAGGAAGCCGAGCTTGGGGCTCTCTGGGATCTGAGGGCAGGGACTGACACTGTGTTCTCATTTCTCCCGGCTTTAAAAAAATGACTCGAGTCTGACTTGTGGATATTAGCCTGACTTTTAAGCCACTTCCCGTATTCTGTATATCGCAGGCAACTAAGATTTGACCCAATGCTTAGTTCACTAGAGACTAAATGGAACACTGAGGTCTTATAAAACCTCCCCTAAGCACAGGGATTAAATGACTGCTGCTTCTGAGCCAAGTCCTCAGATCTGTGTGTAAGGCAGATTGGCTTTGAAATGTCTTAAAATATCCAACTTCTAATGCACAAAAAAATATTTACAAACCTTGGGGATCCAGCTTTCAAAATTCCCTCTGTGGTTTTTATAAGAATTTCTGGTCATATCTTTTGGTACAGGTACCCAGAAAGGCCTGGGTACTCTTCAGGTTGGGAGATGGCATGAGTCCTATACTTTGGTTTAGGAATAGATTTCTTGTCTACCTGCTCAAGAATTTCTTGAGGAAGGAAAACACTTGCTGTGTCCTAACCCTAACCAACTCTAGGGGGCGCTGCTGTGATATGTAGAACCTTGGACATGTCTGATAGGTGTTGGGATAGAAAAAACACTATTTAGAAATTTCCTTAGGTGGTATGCTAACTCTATATGTCATCTAGCAAACTTGTAGGCTGCCCGAAGCTCACTTGGAACTTACTAAGGGGATATTGATTAGACCAGGGATCCTAGATGGTGGGTAAGGAAAGAAGATAGAAGTGGGCTTGGGAAATCTCTCCTGCAGAATGGCCATTGCCTGTGCACTTTCTGGGTCCCTATTGCCTAGCTTGAGGTGAACAGCCAGGTGAGTCAAGAGCAACCAGACCTCATTGTCTCTCATTGACACTGGTCTCAGTGGTGCTCAGGAGTGTAGCATCGGCGGTGGGCAAAGTTCCCACCTGCCATACTCTGAGCTGCAAAGTAGAGCTGAGGAGAGAGTGACATGAAGTCACCGTGCCAGCCAGCTGTGAGAGATCTGGGTGGAGGCAGGTTGCTGTGGTCAGGCACAGCAGCTACAGGCCCTCTGTCTCCTGGTGTGCATCACGGCTGCTGTCACATGGGGAAGGCCCTGGTTTAACACAAAGCCCTCTTTGGACCCACAGAGACTGTATAGGGAGCAGGGAGAAAGCATGAAGCACCACTACACGCAGACCGTGGACCTGCCCGAAGTCCTGCTTGCCAAACTAAACGCCATGAACATCAGTGAGGTGAGGTTCCGGAGGGATTCGGAGTTCAGAGACAGGAGGGCTGGAGGCCCTCACAGGCCTGCACACTTTCACTATGTTGACCGTTATGACTTCTCTGAACAAGGGAACCCATTTGTGTTTGCACTGGACCCTGTAAATGATGTAGCTGTCCCTGGGCAAGACACACGCTCACTGGGAAGAACGAGACATGAAGAGGACCCGCCTTCCTTTATATACAGGAGCCAAAATGCACGGGCTATCCCTGGAAAGCTCCATGTAGCTGGTGACTTCACCAAGGAGACATTTGGGGATTTTAACTCTTTCCCCTCTGTAGTTTCTATAAGAACCCTTCTCCCGTCATTCCTGGTCTTTGGTCCAGGCATTTGGCTATTCTCTATCTTGTATAATGAGCCATACAAACACAGCCTTAAGCCTTTTTAATCCAATGAGCTTGCTGCTCGGTAAGATCTAGGACTACCAGGCTCCAAAGCCTTTGTTTTTCACCAGTCCCCTCACTGGTTTCACCTGCCAAGGGGCAGGAGTTGACTCTTGGATCATCCATTCTAAACCACAGTGATTTCTAACACCCAGATGGTGCTCCGGGGTGTGAAAGAAAAACCCACTGCTAACCAGATTCCATTGGAAAAAGCCAGAATTTAGGTGACTATCAGATTTGTGCCTTTCTCCCTGCAGACACGCTATAAGGAGTCCTGGAGCCGACTGCGGGATGGAGGGTGCAAGCTGAGGTTGGATGCCCTTCCATTGCAGGCAGCAAAGGCGGCCAGTGAAATTACAAGTGATGTGAGCATCCAATCCGGTGATAACTTTAATCCAAACCTGCTTGCAGTTCTTTTACCTCTAACTCTTGCCTTCTTTTGCCTGTGGATATAAAATCCTCTCCTGTCCAAACTGACTGTGTTAGGGCAACCGGATAATGACCAGTGAAAGAGAGTGTATCTCACACAAAAAATTCCCTAGCCTGGGGCACAAAGCCAAATGCCTGACTGTAAACATGGCACCTGGGCAGATGAAGAGCACCCTCCACCAAGAGTTTCCATAAAGCCGTCCTATGAAGAGCCGGCTAACAATGCCTGCACCTTCTCCCAGCTTGGGCCGCCCAAGTGCTAACGCTTCTGCCGTTTCAAATCGGAGCCCTTTAGTCATTGGGAGTCTTGCATATGAAAGAATAGACTTTTTGACGACTCCCGCTCGCGTTTTCTTTTAACTCACCCAGTTACTGTTCAAAAGAACAAAACATTTTCTCCCAATACCCACCTCTTCCATTCTGTGTCCCTTGTCCCTGAGCCATTGCTCTCTCCGGCTCTCTTTCCCTTTAGTACAGATACAAAGAAGCATTTGAGAGAATGAAAGGGCAGATGCTTGGCTCCCGGGGCTTGGAAGATGACCTCAGCCTCTCACACGCAGTACACGCGACCTCGCTGCAGAGTGGTGTAAGTGGGAGGAGACGGAGGGAGCTGTGGGGCCCACCTGATGATGCTCCTGGCACAGCCAGCTCGGGTGGCCAGCCTCTTGGAAGTGGGTGATGCTCCTGCTGCCTGTTTGCTGTGCAGTGTGAAATCACCTCTGGGGTTCAGGTTCTTCCATAAAGTGAGGCTGGATTTCTGGAGCCCCTCGTTCCTCTCTGAAATGTGAATGCTTTGATTTGGATTTAGGTGGTCTATGGGATGTGTTTGGTCTGCAAAGATTGTGTGTGTGTGTGCTCTACAGAGAGCAAATTCCTGCAAATGTTTAGAAATGGAAAAAGATTTCTATGAGAAGTTCTAGATTGCATGTTGGAAGGTAGACTGGATTCTTGAAGGCTACAGTCAGTTAAGTTGCTCACATTGTAGCTGTGTAGGTGGAGTATGTACTTGTGTACTTCCCCAGACATGGGGAACACACACACACACACACACTTCATTCTTATTTGTGCTTACATAAATGTAGGCACCTGTTTGCCTACTACCCTCTGACAATAGTGTGGTCCTGTGGACTCTGGCACACATGTGTATACTCAACCTCCTTGCACACGTGTGAGGGGCAAATGCCAGGGGTGAAAGCTATGCCCAACATGTTACAGAGGTCTAGCCTATGCATTATCTCATTTAACTGCCAAATGTCTCTCTGGGATCTCCACTTTATATTCATTCTGGCTCATTGATAAGGAGGTCAAGACTGAGTAACTCAGTCCCTCACCCGGAGGTGCTAGAAAGAGGCAGGCTCCAATATGGAGGCAGTGCAGTTTCTCTCTCTCTCTCTCTCTCTCTCTCTCTCTCTCTCTCTCTCTCTCTCTCTCTGTCATCCTCTGCCATTTTTCTCTGTTTCACTTTCCCCTTTTCCAATTGTGCTTTCTGTCTTGGGCTTCTGACCTTTGAGTATGGAATTAGATGGGAGGCCTTGGCCTTATTCTAAGGATGAGGGCACCATTAATGACAGGAGAGTGGGAAGTTTGGGCCAAGGGGTTGGGTTGAATTATCAGAGGACAATTGGCAAAAGGAAAAGGCAGTGGTATGCACCTGAATTCCAAGGAGAACCACCAGCCTCACACCCTTCCTCCTGAGGCTTCTGGGATGAGAAACTCTCCCCCCCCACCTTTTATCAGGACATACGTTGGGCTTGAGGGATGAGTATGTATCCTCAGGCACCTGTTTGCCTACTACCCTCTGACAATAGTGTGGTCCTGTGGACTCTGGCACACATGTGTATACTCAACCTCCTTGCACACGTGTGAGGGGCAAATGCCAGGGGTGAAAGCTATGCCCAACATGTTACAGAGGTCTAGCCTATGCATTATCTCATTTAACTGCCAAATGTCTCTCTGGGATCTCCACTTTATATTCATTCTGGCTCATTGATAAGGAGGTCAAGACTGAGTAACTCAGTCCCTCACCCGGAGGTGCTAGAAAGAGGCAGGCTCCAATATGGAGGCAGTGCAGTTCTCTCTCTCTCTCTCTCTCTCTCTCTCTCTCTCTCTCTCTCTCTCTCTCTCCATCCTCTCTCTTCCCCTCTCATGTGTGTTTGTAATGTTTGTTCACTTTCCCCTTTTCCAATTGTGCTTTCTGTCTTGGGCTTCTGACCTTTGAGTATGGAATTAGATGGGAGGCCTTGGCCTTATTCTAAGGATGAGGGCACCATTAATGACAGGAGAGTGGGAAGTTTGGGCCAAGGGGTTGGGTTGAATTATCAGAGGACAATTGGCAAAAGGAAAAGGCAGTGGTATGCACCTGAATTCCAAGGAGAACCACCAGCCTCACACCCTTCCTCCTGAGGCTTCTGGGATGAGAATGGACTCCCCCCCCCCTTTTATCAGGACATACGTTGGGCTTGAGGGATGAGTATGTATCCTCAGAACTGGCTTTTCAAACAGCCATCCACTCCTGTCAGCTCTAAGATTGACTAGGGACTCATGAATTGTTTGATGAAGCTGTTTGTCAGGTGGGGTAACAGGAGAATCCGTGACCTGAAGCAGATATTGGGGAAAGGTACATTGGGTGGAATGCAGGTTCCCCAGGAGCATTCTTAACACTAAAGCAGGGTGATATAGGAACTTGAGCAAGGGAGTAATTGGCATTAGGTCTGTAGCTGGTCTATATTTTCCCCTGGTAAGGAAGCCATGGCCCCTCTACCCAGGCTGGTGACTTCCGGGGACCAAGAGTTGCAGACTCATTCATGCTTGTTATGTTGGTATCTGCAAGGAGAGGGTATGAGCCTGCATCAGTATCTCTGGTTGATGGGACAACTGGGGCATAGTTGCTGTCCCTGATGGTCCTGTGCAAACAGTAGCTTTGAAATAGTGAATGTGAATCTGTCTGCTCCTCTAGGTGAATTATAAGAAAGCCTTTGAACACTCAAAAGCTCACTTCCATCTGCCACTGGACATGGTAACCTTGGTGCATGCCAAGAAGGCTCAAAACCTGGCCAGCGACCAAGACTACAGACATCCGCTCCCCCAACATACATCCTTGGCAGAAGACCTGAGGCTGAGCTGTGCCAAGAAAGCTCACAAGTTGCAGAGTGAGGTAAAGAGCCTGGGTCTCTCCCTCAGGTCCCTTCTCCTGGCATTTCATATCACACAGCGGGGACCCTCAAGTTCCACTTGGCTCCAGAGGTCAGGAATCCCAAACTCTTGTTAGCCCAAGAGCTCCCACACAGTCCTAATGCACAATTAATTAGCATGCTGTAGTGAGAACAGTCACAGTTCTTTGAGTGTTTCTGCTGAATTAAAAGCATTGGAATTACCTCGTCTAACCCCACAATCTCCATGCATTAGTGGTCCCTGTTGTCTAGAGAAACTGTATAAGACACAAGGGAGGAAAGTTAGTCATCTAAGGTGAATCAACTGTACCCGAGCAATGGGTGAGATGCCACATAGATTTATGGGTTTTCCAGCTTTGTCCCTGGTCTCATGTTGGCTAGAAACCCATCTTGCTGTTTTATGAGAAGAACATAGAGCAGAGCCAGGCAGTTAGACCCTGGGATGCCTCTTAAGGTTATCTAGGTCCTTGTGGGGCATCTTCACTCCTCTGGTGGCATGTCCAACCCCTGAAACCTGCTCTACAAGGCAAGGAGGCTCAGGGAGTTAGGCCGTCTCACGTTCCTGAAGAAGCAAGGTGCATCTTCCCCAAAGGCAACAGTAGCCCTGGTACCTGCCTTCCTTCCCAGCCTGCGAGGCTTGCCTGTTCCAGGCCTGTGCAGGCAACAAGCCCCCTGGAGGAAACTGGTACCTGCCTTCCTTCCCAACGAGGCTTGCCTGTTCCAGGCCTGTGCAGGCAACAAGCCCCCTGGAGGAAAGTGAGACCTCTGTCTGGGTTTAACAGTGTGTGCAAATCAAGCAGTGCTCCGATCCGGAATCTGTCATCTCTTGGAACACTGTGCCCGTGGACAGCATTTGCTGAATGACACGAACTGTCAGGGACCTGAGTGCTGCTATAGGGAACTGCTACACTCACCTCAGGCCATTTGTCACCTACACAGAGCCCTGGTGCTCATCCTGTCTGGTGCTGTGGTGACAATTGGAAGGTGGCACACCCAGGGGGTGCTTTGCTGGCTGAGAGGAGTAGATTTGGGGATTTTCTAAACTGTCATTCCCAATCACTCAGTGGTTCTTGCTTCTTTCCACACAGGTGCGGACCCAAATGAGTCTGTGCCAACTTCTTTTGGATTCATTCATTAGTTCTTCTTTAACCCATAATTAATTAATACCGCCCGCCACTGCTGGCTTTTGTTTGAAATGTCAGTGAAACCATTTGTACATTTGCCCCAGATGCCTGACTTTCTAGCCACAATCCTCTCAAGCATTTATGTTTTGATAGCCCACATTAAAACAGAAATCCGCCAGGTATCCCTGTCACATGTCACAGCTACTCACAGAGAAGTGACAGTGGAATGACTTTCTTCTGACCCACACTTTCCCCAGATGAGCCTTTACTGGGAAAGCATGTGCGCGGCTTTTGAGTGGCACTGCATCTGTACAGACAGACATCTGTACACATAGACATCTGTACACACAGACATCTGTACAGACAGACATCTGTACAGATGCTGCCTGGAGTTCTAGACATGCACTTTCAGACAATGTCCTGAGAGCCTGGCTCCTCTTGCTTCTTTGCTCAGAGCTTGGCTTTTCTGATGTTTATATATTCCTTGTAGAATCTGTATCGCTCAGACTTGAACTTCATGCGTGGTGTTCCCTGTGTCGTTCCTGGCACGCTGGAGATTGAAGGCAGAAAGAAAGCGTCAGAGCTCATCAGCGAGGTAACTTGGGACTCCAGAGTGGATGATGGCAGTGTGGGGTCCAGGGCAGATGCCACAGGGGATCTGTGTCCCCCTGCTCAGGCAGCTGGAGGTTAAGCTGTTGCCTCTTGCCTACTGCATTTATTCTTTATTCTTTTTTTTGGGGGGGGGGTTGAGACAAGGTTTCTCTGTGGCTTTGGAGGCTGTCCTGGAACTAGCTCTTGTAGACCAGGCTGGTCTCTAACTCACAGAACTGTCTGCCTCTGCCTCCTGAGTGCTGGGACTAAAGGCCACATGCTGGGCATGTGCCACCAACGCCCAGCCGCCTGCTGCATTTATTCTTAAATTGCAGTTTCCATTCAGACCATTTAAGAAAGCTTGCTGGGGACTGTCGAGATGGCTCAGTAGTTAAAGCTCAACGAGTGAGCATGAGGACCTAAGTTTAGATTCTCAGCACTCACTGAAACAGACAGGCACCATAGTGCATATCTGTCACCCGGTTCTCTGGGGGTGGAGGCAGCAGGGTCCCTGGAGGTCACTGTCTAACAAGTCTAGCTGAAGCTCCAGGCTCAGTGAGAGACCTGCGGTGGAGGGTGACAGAGGAAGCCACCCAACATTGACCCCTGGCTTCCATGCACATGCATACAAACATACACGCATGTGCACACACATATACACATGCACGAATGTACACACACACACACACACACACACACACACACACACACACACACGAACATCAAGTCAGTTCCTCTGTTAATACATAAGACTGATTCAGGAGCTCATAAGATGTGCTTTTCCTAGGTCCTTTGAAGGGCAGCCATATGGTACAATGGAGAGCAGGCAGGCTTTGGAAACCAACAAATAAGGGATTGAAATTCTAGGTCAGCTCTCATTTGCTTTGTGACCTCAGCCTAGTTACCTGTCCTTTCTGATCCCTGGCTTCTAAATTAGTCACATGGGGTTATACGGAACGCCTCAGTTTGACTTTGTAAGGATCAGCTCTGATTTAAGTCCAGTGTTTCTCTGACAGCTGTGTTTGAAATGGCAGCTACAGTTTTGCTAATTTCTTGGTGAAAAATAAATAGTCTCAGAATTCTAAGCTGTCTAAGTGTGTGGGGAGCCTTGGAGGTGACCTGGGTTGATGCTCACGGTGGACTCAAGGACAGGGGCAGTGGTGGGAATAGTGGGATACATGTTTGGCACCAGCCTGCAAGCTAAGGTGGGGGGTAGTGGCCTGTGGAAGCTCAGGGGCCCTGGGTTCTGCATTCCTAGAACAGTCTGCATGGAAGTGCTCCACAGCCCATGCCCATCAAAGCCCATGTGGCTCTTCAAAGAGCACAAAGAGGCTGGGCTCTGCCTGCACCAGGACTGAAAAAACCACTGTGTGAGTGTGTATCCGGGGACCTAGGTGTTATTCTGCAGGAGCCATTAACCTTTCACTTTGAGATAGTCTCCCTGACCTGAAACTCATCAAGTAGTCTAACCAGGCTGGCCAGTGAGCCCAGGCGTCTGCCCGTCTCTGCCTCCCCGGTGCTGGGATTACAAATGTGGAACCCTGCAACTAGCTGTTCTCATGAGTGTGGCTTTGAAGGGGCACAGCTGGCATTGCACATTCTCAATGCTGAGGAAAGTCTTGTCTGATGCAGACTGTAAGTGTAGCCGGTTCTGTTCACCCTGAGCAGGAGAAGGGCAGGCTGGGCAAACGGAGGCTTTTGTAGCGATGGTGGCATACACTTATAATTCCCGTGGTGGGAAAGGCAGAGGCAGGAGGAATCTGGGGCTGTCTGGTCAGCAAGGCTCAGGTCCAGGCACAGACCTACCTCAGAAAGAAAGGTATTTATGGTGCTTCAGAGGGGCAGTACCCCACATAACCCCCTGGAGTCCACATGCATGTGCACACAGGGACACACACATGTACATGTGTGCATGTGCACACACATGTATACACACGCATGCATGTACACACGTACACACACACATGCACACACACACGCGCGCGCGCGCGCGCGCACACACGCATGCACTCACGCACGCACAGAGTTTTAATGCTTTAATTAAGATTTACAGCATTAAATGTTTTCAGCCTTACCAAGCCATCTTTTTTCTTTCTCAGAGTAAATACCGCCAACATCCGGGGTCATTCAAGTACACAGCCGTGACAGATACTCCCTACCTTCTGCAGGCCAAGTTCAGCAACCAAATCACCAATGAGGTGAACTCTCCAGTGGCTGTTCAAGGATGGCTAGATTTAAAGAGAAAGGGGGCATGTGAATTTTTATGGGTGGAAGAAGGGAAAGGCATTCGAGTTTATTCGGGCATTTGAAAAGAAAAGAACATTCCAAACAGAACCTAGCACACCTTCCAGAGGAAAGGAAGAAATTGGGCTAGACTGTAGTCTGGCCCCTCTGGACCAGGGGCAGGCTGGAATTCCACCCTGGAGTGTGGCTGGATCCAAGGAGCCACCAGACAAGGCCCTCAGTGTAAGGATTCCAGCATATGCTGGCCTGCTCCTGCCACCCGGCAGAATGTACCCAGGCAGTGCCCTGGTCAGCCCAGGTGCGAAGGACCCCTTCAAAAGACAGACCTCCGCCTGCTTATGCTCTTTTTCCCTTTCTCTTTCCCGCTGTTCCCCTGGGGCAGACAGGACTTTTCCTGTCTCCCTCTTCTCTCTGTCCTCTCCCTGTCTCTGTGTCTCTTCACCTCTGTTCTCTTTTCGTTCCTCTCCCTTTCCTTTCTAATAAAACTTCTCACTAGGCTCTGTCTGCCTGGCCGCGTTTGTCCCCCGCCTCGGTCACCCTCGCCTGCCATGGAATCCACCAAGGTCTCTAGCGCTTTATCCTAACACTCAGCTGACTCTTTTGCACACAGAAATCTGAGAGATGCTGACCTGTGGTTCTACTTTTGGCAGAGGGTGGCAAACCAATATAATATAATGCTCATTTATGGAGGGCTTGTGGTTTCCCAAAGGCAGGTTTAGAGAGTATGGCATCTGACTGGGTTCTTGAACCTTTGCCTCGTCTTAATCTCACTTACTCTTCACTCAATGTATTCACCCCAAAATTTACTGTCCCCAATTAAAACAATGAAGGGAACAGGTGCCCCTGCTTGCTGGCTCTCCTTCTTGCGAGGTTCTCATGTCCGCTGAGCAGACACAGATTGTCAGATCATCTTACTTTTCAAGATGCTCCCAACTCCAGCTTTCAGAAGTTGTGTGGCTATTTTTACTATTCCCCTCTGCATCCGACCTGAGCCTTCTGAAGCTGGAAGCGATTCCTGAGGATGAGGATGCCCCCGGAAGCCAGAGTTCACCATCTTGCACAGAGAGCACATCAAGTTAAAAATTTTGCAGATGTGAGGGTTAACCCTCCTCAGGGTTAGCAGAACAAACGGCAGTTCCTGGCAGTTCCTGGCAGTTCCTGACACAGTCAGTCCTTCTATTTCACATGACTTCACCAAAAGCCCCCCCCCCAGACTGAAGCTTAGGAGGTGTCCCTCTGTCATGCCTTCCCAGGTGCACACGCAGGGCTCACACAACACTTGTCTGATCACTGTTTTTCACTTTTGATTGGGGTGCAGCGCCTCTATAAAGCAGCTGGCGAGGACGCGAGACACCGCTACACACCGACCCTTGGTCTCCCCGAGTTCATCCGAGCGAAAGCCAACGCAGACAACCTGAGCGAGGCAAGTCTTCCTCCCTGCAGAAGGTCAAGTGTGTTCCAAAGCCACCAGCGTTGTGTCATGCCGGTGATCCAATGCCCACTTTCCCACCATTTGCTGAAGCTTCTCAAAGGGCACCCATGTTGCACATACATGCATGCACAGAGCCTACCACAGGGCATGTGCTACTGAGGGTTTGCTCTGTGACACAGAAATCATTTGCTGTTCACAAATGGATTCTAGTACGTCATGCTACAGATGAAAGGGCGTGAAGCCTTTGTTCATGGATTCATGTATTCTTTTTTAAAAAAAGATATACACGTGTTCCTGTTTTAGGCAAAATATAAGGAGTCTTGGCATAATCTTCGTGCTCAAGGCTGCAAGATGACGATAGATGCTCTCCCCTTCCAGGCTGCACGAGCCTCCGGGGACATAGCCAGTGACGTGAGTAGTCTGCTCTGACCTCCTGTCTTGCCTCCTCTCTGTTACTGTGATATAAAACAATGAGTGAGGCAGGTTTTTTCCCAAATTAAAGCAAATCTATAACTGTGTGAGACAGAATGTCACCTGCAGAATATGTTAGTTCTGAATGAGGTCCTTCAGCAAAAGGAGGGAGGGCCAAGCACAGTCTAAATCCTTGCAGATGCCTCTAGCTGAAGGAGCAGGTCACGCAGGTATCACTGTGACATGCAGGCAGTGGTCACTTGAGAGCTGCCTGTCTGTAGCCCCACCCAGAACAAGGACGAGAAAGGAGATGGCAATCACCTCCCCCTTGGGTCTCTGTCACTTCCCGCCACAATCCACCAGCTGTGCTTCATATGTCCATAGCTTTGGGACATGAAGGTGACTTTCTCTTTCCCACAAACAAATCACAGGAAATGTAGACTTCAAACGAGCAGATCCTGCCTTTGGGGTTTAATGTTTTTCCAAGTATGAGTGGATAAAGTACAAGTTTCTTTTTTACCCCTTTTGATGAAATTGCTTTTGGCCACTGATGGATACACAAGGGAGAAGGATGCTGCTTGAGGTTCTGGGTATCTGATTTTAATCAGATAGAAAGAGAGGGATGATGTTCTCATCCTTCAGCCCCAAGGGAGGGAGGGAGGGAGG